GGCTAAACTGACAATTCTCTGATATATTTTTCAAAAGTCAGGCTTCCATCACACGCAAGTGGAGAAAAGTTCATCATATTCAGCAGAGTTGTGAGAGATGCGGAGATGGATTAGTCAGCAGGGAGGAGGTGCTTTCAACAGGTTGCCCTAGATGCAAAACAAAACCTGCCAAGCGTTTCTCCATCGGCATCAAGGGTTTCAACTTTGGAAAATATCATAATGTCTGTCTGACAGACATAGAGAGCTGACCGAGCACACAGCCAGTAAACTCATTACAGGGTTGGTGGCGAGCCATGAGACATATATGCCCACCAGTGGGCCTGTCATGGTTCTTCCACAGAAGAGCAGGTAAACTTGTTAACTCTGACATCCACATGACCCCCGACAAAAGGAGGGGGAGGAAGGAAGAGTCATAGACTCTGGTAAGACATCCCTTACAAAGTCATAGCAGGGACAGAGGAGGCTGTCCGCAGCACTGTTTTCAGTGCTAATTAAAATAGGCCCAGGTTCTGTAAGGCCAAAAGCCTGCTGTATGCCTTCTGGTTGTTCTTAAATTAGACAAGTCAGGATTCAACTGAGACTGACAAGAGATTGCATTAGGCACTGCAGCACATTAACAGAGCTGTGAAGCAGAAGCTAAAACAGGCACACAGAGGTCACACCAATGATTGTAACTATTGTCACCTGTTTTACAGAGCAGCAGAGACTATGTGCACTAGATAATCTGCTGTAACCCAACATTAACATGTGGACAGGCCTTCTGCAGAAACCAGAAATGTTTGCAGTTGAATACTTTGCTATTTTTCAACCAGCTTTGTATCATAACAAAGAGGGTAGTATGTGTAAATGAACCTTGATAAACTTCCCTCCATCTTACCAACACCCAGACCTCCCTGCTCATTGGCCAGCAAAAAAATGGTGGATTTTCACTGGCTCTCAGGCTGTTGCTCAAACTACACTTTGAGGTTCCTCATTTTCGTGTGCCCACCATGGACACAAAGAGTATAGAAGCTCTTTCAAACTCAAACCACACTCAGGTCAAAGAGAAAAATTTGGCAGTGCTGATAAAATATAAACTAAAATTCTGTTACTGTACTGTCAATATCTCACCTAAAATGTCTTAAGAAACATATTTAAATGCACTGTTAAGCCGTTATATGCAAATCTGTGAACAGGAAGTGGGCACCATACTGTTTCCTGTATTGTAAAAACGGAGGCTGAAAAAATCTTAGATCAAACAATGAGACTAGGCAGTGCTGATCAAACATGAAGCATGATTCTGTTACTCTGTTCCCTTTTTCTCACCTCAAATATTTTTAGAAACACATTTTGACTTATTCACTGCCATCAAATATCTCAAATGGGCAACACACATAAAATCAGTTGTGAAGTAAATGTAATAATTAACAGCTCCCATAGGTCAAAGTCAGTCATCAGGGTCAGAGGTAAGGTTCATCATCAGAACAGATTAAGATCACACTTCCTGTCTTTCTCTGCACCATATTGGATACTTGCAACAATGTGGGTTTGAATCTCGTCACTAAATTTGGGGATGTCCTTTGCACTGTTCTATACCATGCCGCTTTGCCTTCCTGCTATTCAGTCTGAAAGCTTTTTGTGGATTTACTGCCTCCATGAGCAAAGCCACTGATCACTGTCCAGATTAAATGGATTTGGTGCTAAACGTTGCTGTCATAAACGCCGGTGTGAACGTTCTGTAACTACTGTATAACAGCCCCCCTGACAGTTTTGAGGGTGAAGAGTTAAAGAGGAGGGGCACCCAACTCCCATTCTGCTTTATACTTTAAACTTCACCCTCACCCAGATAATCTAAACCCCTTTTTAGAGCAGGACATCTAGGCTATTACACCTGCTGTCAGGGATTTAAACCTCCCCCCGCTGATGTCAGGTCTGCTGCTAGTGCCCACACTAAGCTGGCAAAATTTGAAAATGCACCCTTTTTTTTTACCTCCATTTTGGCCTTCCATCCATACTAAGCCAGTACGTCTCCCACCCAAAAATGGTAACATTTTGATCATGCTCTCCAGAGTGGGTACATCTGAAAGACTGTTGTTGTTTGGACAAGTTTCATCCAATGTTTGCGCACACACAGTCAGGTGCTGTGTAGCAGTAACGATTACACAATACAGGTTTCATCATTGCTTTGGTTTTATTAACTCCTGACAGTCAACTTCACAAGCAGGCAATAGTAAACAACCAATCATCTCAGTATACCAAAGCATGAATGACTGGTTGCCCTGGTATTTTTATACTTCTTCAGTTATCCGACAACATCATCAACGGCAAATCTGTCGCTAAGACCAACTGCATTGTGTTGAATGTAGAAATTTACTCTTGACCTTGGGGTCATCACATCAAACAGAATAATCTAGTTTTTCCTGGGCTTGCAAACAAATCTTTTCAGTTTGATCATCAGAAAATAAAATACATTGGGCCTCATGTGAGTACCACTTGCACGGAGAGATTCATTCTTAAGTGGCATGTATGAGCTTGTGGCATTCACTTACTTTGATAAGCTATTTTGAATATTCTCTCAGTTACAAACAATATTCAATTCATTTTCATGTTTTTGTCTGGTGGTTCCTGAAGAGAGGACTAGAAGCCCTATAGTGCAAGTCATCTTTTCTATCTTTGGTAACATTTTTATGAATGAAACTTGCCCACAAACAGCACTGAACTTCAGGGCGTTGTTTATGCTAATGACAAAATCTTACAAATATATGCATCTTCACATGAAAAGGTGGCTTTCTTCAGGTTGAAACAAGCAATTTGTGACACGTTTCTGCAATTAAGAGAGGCTGGTTGGATTAATCTAGGATAAAATGCTACATACTGTAAGTGATCATAAAGAGTCACTGATGAAAAATTCGGTTTCGATTACTGAAACAATTTAATTGGCTAGAGCGGCATAATCGGCTTGTAAATATCAAGGATTTTTGACACAACAAATTCTTTTCGTAGCATTGTCCGCTCTAAAATAATTGTATTCTGACTATTTGCCTACAGCCTAATCTTGAACCCGATTTCAACCAGTCATGTTTGCAAATGGGAGCTTGCCGTCAGTGTGAACATGGCCTCAGTGTGAGCAAGTCTGGCTCGCACACCCCCACCCCAACCCCCTGTCTGTGACAGCCACATCAGCCAATTGTCAACAGCAGCTGATGTGTTCTTTCCCAGTGCATCCATCAGCATGCACACATCCATCCACACACACACACACACACACACATACAACACTTGTACTCAAAGGGATTTGTGCAAATTCATGAGAAGACCCCTGGCTAACGTCTCAATAATCTCTCACACAGCTCTATAAAAAGACATGACTGTTAGCAATAAGCCTGTGCCTGTGTGAAGGAAGCTTGATGTCACATTACATATAGAGACCTGTATCATCCAGTGTGTAAAAAGGGCCAAATAAAAGCATAGGAGCGCATGATAATTCATCCAAAACACTGAACAACAGTCTATTGAGTGTGTGCCTGATAAAAAAGAATCTCTTTGATTCGTGCCCCTTTGACTTCTGCTCTTGAAAATCTCAAGTTTCACAACATGTACTATAAAAAGCTTTTACATGACCAGGTGTGGCTAACCTCTCGCAGGTCTAACTGTACAAGACACAAGCACGTCATAACCTGTGTATTATCCACCTGCAGCGTCCTGTATCAGTCCAACAGCCCGGACAAGTGAAACATTTACCTGAAAATGACCCAGTCAAAGTAAAATCACCAACGCTGCACTGCCCTAGATTCCATCAGCAATAAGGAAGTGTGTCACTTTCTGTTCCCTCTCTCGGTGGCTTGGTCAATAAGTTGCAAATGAGCCTACTAGATATGATGTCAACGAGGGGGCTTGCACAACACTCCTGTGCCCTTTGAACGAAAGCATGTCTGCTGAAGTAGGGCACTGAAACTCCTCACTATGGAGACACGATGGCAAAGAGTGTAAAGAAAAGTTTATTCTCTTTCTCTCTTGTCAGCATTATCTCAAGACAAATAAACTCTGCTCTGCAAAACAAATGTGTGAAATGAGTTTTCCATCCTCTGCTCTGCACCTCAGAGCAAATGCCACAAATCGATTTGAATGACACGCAGGTGCAGTGTCATAATATGGGATTAAATCCTGGCGATCCGTGCCTGTATTCGCGTGGGCAGGCTCCTTAAAATAAATCTTTACAAATGACAGTTTAGCAGCGAAACGCAGGTCTGCTGCCTCTCACTCATGCGCTCTACACACAAGAGATGACATCATGTTGGGTCAGCTTGGGTTTTAGTGCTCAGCTTGCTATCTACATCTGCCATTTCGAGCGCGTCATGTTCGCCTACATTTACTTTAGAGGCTGCTTATTTAACCAAGCACTGTCCTGCATGCAGTGGGTTTGCAGCATCCATGCCTGGGGAGACTTATGAAATACAAAAACATGAATGACGTGCGAGTATTGTGTGCGCAATAAATGAATGCAAGGGAATATTACAGTCGAAATGGTGAGAAATAAAAGTGTGAGTGATGCATTTGATGCTCGGCTGCAAAGAGACGTAGTAAAATGTGACTCGGGTCATGTGTAGTGGACGTTACACCGTCTCCACCGAGAGCCATTGTGACTGCGCGTTGATAGTAAAATCTCACTCACAACAATGTAGGATGCAATGGAAGGTACCACAGTCGTTTTGGATGTGACACGCTCACGCAGGACTGGCCCACATCGCGTGACAATGCCAAAATAACACCGAGGACAAGTTTACACAGCGTCGGCTCCAAAGCCTCGTAACTGTACACTTCATTACAACCTGTCATCCGTGTGCTCTCCATACTCACCCCCTGAGGAACAAACCAAACAGCGACGCGTCTTCCCCGTCAGTCCACAGCGTAAGTATCCAAATTGCTGCGTGGATTTTTTTTGTTGTTGCTCCAAGCAGGTGCACAAACACATCAATCAACAAACACGCACTTCGCTCAGGAGCTTTTAAAAAGCAAACCTACGCACTTATAACCCCGGCGAGCTGCCGCTGGTGCCCGTACTCACCACCTCTGAGTGGAGTGGCGTTCAAACAACAAGCCGAACAACGTCGAGACCAAGCGACGGTGGTCATTTTCAACTTCAGGTGCAGGCACACACTATTCATTTACAGCCTCACTCTGTCTGCGCCGCTTTGACATTTAGCTCGAGTAGCTTAGCCGCCGAGACAAGAGGAAGTGTCATTGCAGTTTGAGAGCGCGAGGCTATCGCGAGCTGGTAAACCGTTACAAACAGTGACACGCGACACAACAACACAGGGGCAAAGAAACACGCTCACCTTGTGCCAAAGTCGTCGTTGCTGGAAAGCGCGCTCACTTCAGGAACATTTAGTCCGACTCTGAAGATGTCGGTGTGACTTTGCGAAGTGCTGTCAGTTGGTGTGGACTTCCTGAATGACGGAGCAGTAGGAGCACAACCCCTCGCCCGCGCTTGACAGCTACTTTGACAGACGGGCGGAAATAAAGTTGTCTCGTGCCGCGGAGGGGTCCGCGCGAGGATGTGCACGTCGCAGGTGTATTTAGCACAGAATACTTATTTAATTCTTCCAACTATCTTGTGCTGATTTACCCAAATCACATGCAAACATTCTTGTTATAAAATTTATCTTTTATATTGCTGCTGTAAATAACAAGCGCGTATGTAAAGTAAAGCACCAGTACTACACCTTATTTCCTTTGCAAATCATTAAAGATGCATGCACTGAGTCATAGCGATTCTGTTGCAACTTCAGTGATGCTAAGTGAGATCGTCTCCTGAATACACTCAGTGCAATGCTGCCACTTGCTGGTGCACCTTTGAAGTTCAACTGTAAAACTAAAAAATAAATATACTGTATGCTTATCAGAGTGAGGTGTTTATTAAGACCACATAGCTTTAAAAGGCACAAGGATGCACCTGGAATCCTTTGTACAAAATAACACATTTTATTTATTTTATCTGACCTAGGGCTCCTGGCTGCCCCATGCTCCAGACTTAAGCTCAGGGGTGATCGGGCCTTTGCTGTGTCTGCCCCCAAACTGTGGAACAGCATCTCCTGCAATCAGATCTGCCCCCACCATTGACTTATTTAAGTCCAGGCTCAAGAGTCCCCCTGATGTGGTCTTCCCTGGCACGTGCCTGTGTGTGTTGTGTCTCCAAATGTGTGAGCTGTTTACCTGACAGTTACGTCGCCTCTTATGTGTGTGTTTTTAGCATTTTATTCCTTTTGTGCAGCCCTTTGGTCAATATGAGCTGTTTTTAAATTGATATAGCACTTTTCACAGAAATGAAATTCACAAAGTGATTCACAAAATATAATCAAATGATCAAACTAACAAAATAACAAAGCAACAAAAAGGAAGTAAAACACATGAGCAAATACAGGCTACTGAGGCCTCAAACAGAAACTTACCAGGGATACAAACACAGACAGTTTAGGGTGGGACAAAAACAAGTTTGAAAAGATCTTAGTGTTGGAGCCACTTCTTCAAAGACACAATCACCTTTCGTTTTGAGTCAGGAGCGGGGACCTAAGGGACCTACTGACGATATAAGGATGGAGATCACTGATCTGTTCAGGTGCCTGACCATGGAGGGCTCTGTACACGAGAACAAGTATCTTGAAGTGAATCCTGAACCTGATGGGCGGCCAGTGTAAAGACACTAAAATGGGAGTGATGTGAGTTGACCTGTTGGACCTGGTTGACAGCCTGACAGCAGCGTTCTGGATTATTTGAAGACGATTCAGAGATGATTTGTTTGGGCAAGTTAAAAGAGAATTGCAGTAGTCCAGTCGGGAGGACACATTTATTTGACCATATCACATAGTGTGGAGGACAGACATTACATACAATAACAAAACAATGGCACACAGCGTGGCTAAAGTACAACCTTAAACAAAGGAAGGACATTCTTCAGAAAAGTTGGGGAAACACCCCTTTATTTGTGCATGTTTTATTTTATGTCATACTGTAGGCAGTTATTGAATCTTATGAGCAACTGAAAGTGTTGTTGTGGAATTTAACGTAACGACTACTGAATGTATCATGTTGATACTTATTTACTTTTTATTCTATAGACTTTTAATAACATTGTTTGTTCATTTATTCTGTCTTGGTGGGTTTGCTTTTTTAATATTTTATTGTCTTATTGTTGTCATTTTCTAGTCTTGCAGAACTTTATGTTTAGTTGTTTGTATTATCTTTCAATGTCCGTGTCTGTGTCATTTCTATTGTGCCATGTGAAGCACTTTGGGCTGCACGTTTGTATGAAAGGTGCTATATAAATAAAGTTGAGTTGAGTAAATATTTCTTTGGCATATTCGAGAAAACAGTATTGTTCTCAGACATTTGACAACAAACGTTTTCCTTTACGTTCCCCATATGCTGCCTGTACAAAATAGTATGTAAGAAAATATCTAGTAGTGAAATAAAATGAACATACAGATACAAAAAAATCAAATAACATCCAACATATGCATAGGCACATTAATTAACAGTTTACATAGACACCAATACACACCAGTAAGAATTACAAATGGATAAAATCTGGATATTCAAGTATAGAGGCTCATTTTCTTTCAGTTCTTATTGCTACACTCTAGTGTGTCCCGTTTAATTTGGTGGGAGGATCTTTAGCCTTTTAAATAGAATAGTAAAGGGTCCCATTGTGTATGATTTTTTTTTTTTTTTGCGTTAACACTCTAATTTAATATTTTATATTTTCTGACTTGAGGAATAACATCAGGTCATCGTGTAGACATTTAAATATTACTGAAAATATAGCATTTAAAATTTATTTCTGAGTGAGGGTGTCAAAAAAATACAAGTGTCCAATATTAAAATTTTACAAAGTCCAAATTGCTTAAATAGAATAATTAAGTTACAGATCTAAAATTCAAGTCAGGTCTAAAAATGAGGGTCAGTCAGTTTGAATTGGTGAAATTCAAGATTGGAATTGTTTAAACTTCTGCCTTGTTCACGTGTTGTTTTGTCAGTTTTGTGATCCAAAGGTCTAATCTGCCTAAAATACAACCTTGCTAACCCAGGTGTTTGTGGTTTGAATTTTTCGTCTTTGAAATTTGGTGTTGAATTGCCTTTCCATCTGTGCTTGTTCATATAGTCATGATGTTACCCACAGCTTGTTATACGTCTTCGCAACATAATATAGTGAAAACAGAGCTGCACGTCTCCTGACAGGCCAGATTCTGACAGGCCACATTAAGATGAACAAACATCAGCAAGTTGCTGCTGTTGACAACATAATACTCAGAGTTAGGGCTGCATCTATTTGTACTTAACAATCATGCTCTTGATTAATCAACTAATTTGGTCCCTAAAACATCTCAAAACGCCTGTTAGAGTTTCCCACACCCCACAGTGACATCTACTATCATGATGGGCCCAGCTGTGTTACTCTACCACACAACCCTGATGGGACTTCGCCTCACAATCCCCAGCTTAAGGAGGACAGTGCCCTATCTAGGGTCACTGGGGCTGCTACTTTGACTGCACAAACCAGCATCTGACATCATAATCCTTTATACAAAAGTTGTGTTTTTATGGACAAGGGAGGCATCATCTGTGTGAAGTAAACTCAGGGAATCATGTTTCAGTGCCTGCCTGATGTTATCAATTGTAGCCTAGACTACGTCAGACAGAAGTGTCAAATACCACGTTACATATTTCTAAATATGTCTTGTTTAACACAAAGTGTACTATCAAAGATGACTAAGAAAAACAGCAAGGATTCATCTCTGAAAAGCTCAACAGTAATCAGTTTTTAAAATAGTTCAAGATTAATTTTTCTGACAAAAAACAACCACTTAGGTGGTCTTGACAAAACCCGTCTAATGACCCCACAAGGTCAACAGCAAAAGGCTTTCTGTGTTTGGGCTCCTGGAAATCCTCACTAGGCTACTTCAAGGGCAGCGCTCAGTAAACGATCTTGTACTGTACTGATGGTCTATGCAGGGTCAAATTAGTCTACAGGCCTTTAAATGTAAAAACCTTTAACCAGGCTGTTTCCATTGTTTGATATATTTTAATTTGTTTTTAATATGTGTACCAAGGGTTTCCAAGAAAGCAGTATTAATACCAGGTGGATTGTTCTGGTGTAATAAAGTAATTAAACCAGCGTATAACCTGCTTTGATGGTTGCAATTATGATATGATGAAGTTAAGATTTTAGCTTCTTTAAGGGCAATATGTTAGAAAGCATGCAGCCAGCAGGTTATGTATATTGTTGCTAGCAAGTAAAACACAAAATGTGAGAATATTCTGTTGTGACTTCATCCCTCCCTTCACAAATTTAAATTTCTAGTTAAAGTATTACAGTTATTAAGATGTTCAAGTTTACTGTCATGTGAACAAAAATCACTGTTAAATGCTTGCACTCAGTGGCACTCTGCCTTACACAAAGGGAGAACATCCCCAGACGACAACAACAAAGAAACATGACCCACAGTTATCAGTACATACAATCTACAAACATTAATTTGCAGCACAAATGGATGCGTCAACTGCTCAGCAACCTCACTGCCTGAGGGAAGAAGCTGTTACGGAGATGAGTGTTGTGTGATTTAATGCTCTGGTGACAATTTTTGATGGACGGAGCAAGAACAGAGCACAGGCAGAGTGTCTGGTATCCTTAATGGTGTTTGGGGCCTTCCTCTTGCAGCGAGTGGTGTCAGTATCATGAAGTTGTGGTAGTTCAGTGCCAGGGATTTCCTCTGCTGTCTTTACAGCCCATTGTAGCCGTCTGCAGTCCTGAGCAATTCGGTTGTCAAACCACACAGTAGTACAGCTTGTTAGAACAACTCTCAGTGGTACAGCGATAAAAATCCACCAGAGTTTTAGTGCTCATACCAAACCTCTTGAGCTGAGATGCCTCCGGAAATAAGTCTCTTTGTTTGTGTTTGTTGTGCTTTCTTGGTGTTAGGAGACCATGTGAGAGTGTCTGAAATGTGTATGCCAATAAAACTATCAAGGATCTCAGCAGATAAAGCACTGATGGGAACAGGAGTGAGGTTTTATCTGTTCTTTCTGAAGTCAGCAATGATTTCTTTTGTCTTACTGACATTAAGACACAGGTTGTTATTATGGCACCGTATGGTTACATCTGCCACGTCTCTCCTACAGGCTCTCCCATCACTGCCACTTAGACCAAGCGCTGTGGTGTCATCTGCAAATTTTATGATGGGTGCGTGTGTGTGACTGTAAATTTGTCACAAGCAAGAGGTAGTTCAAGAACCAGAGATCAAAGAGAAGGATTATTTTGTAAATTCTCACCATAAATATCCACTGGGGTATAAAAATAGATGCAATTTTGGTGGAGGAACACCAATATTTCATGTGATTTGCATTTAACCACTCACCTTATTCTTATAATACCATCACCAGTGATTTGATTTTTTGTCCATGGCATAATGAGACTTCTGCAGTTACACACACATGTACACATGGTAGGTTTTACACACAGCTTTCACTGCTTTTAGACTGATGGCTGGGCTTCTTTAATGAACAAATAATCAGACATCATTTCATCAAAACAAAATAAATGGCTTTAATGTTATGTTCCTGGCAGTGTGGTTACAGCTAGGAAGCAGCCTTAATGTCACAATGTTGGGGGATAACATAAATATAATTTATCAGTTGGGGGACTACATAAATGTGATGTGAAGAGAGATTATTTTTTACAGCTCTTTTGGTGCCAACTAATCAAAAATATCTTGTGTGTGATGGTGTTTACTGCTGGATAAGCCTGTTTAAAATAGATAGATGGCAGGGATATAGCTCCAGCAGTGGTAGCTTAATTGATAAACACTGAATTTCACTGTTTGACCGCCCATTGACTCTTGGCAGATCCAGTGAGTGTGGAAAAGCTAAATGAAAAGCGAGCCAACCGGGAGCCAAAACAAAGAGGCCCCACAGCCTGTGGTATTCGGCAATATGCCTGATTAAAGTTTTTTAGTTTCTTAATATGCGCATTCATAAAAAAACACAAATTATTCACTGATATCATTTAACTTGAATTCTTTCATTTATTTGTTTGAAAAAATCTGAATAACGATAGTTTATTCGACATCGCACATTATCGTCACAGACATTTTAGACAGGCATGACGTCAGACAGCTTGGTATTCGGGGGTCCTGCCAGTTGTAGGCGCTGTTCCAAGCAAGCTGCAAAACACAAATCGATTGTTTATTTTGTGTTTGTTTACATTTTCCAAGCGAACAAATGGCTTCGACTTTGCTATCACCCATGGTGGATTATTACAACGATGAAGAAGAACTCGACAGCGTGGACGACGACGACGACCGGAGTTTCAGGGGGAGAGACTCGGAGGAAGGTAACGTTAAACGAATTGACCAAAAGCTGCCTGACAGTCGGGCTCTGTCTACTTGTTGGAAAAGAAACGGAAGCGCGCGATAAGTGCGGAAATGTAGTTAATTTTGTTGAGAAATTTAAAGTGAGCTGCAGATTAAGCTCGACTGGTGACAGTGTATCATAGCACGTCCTTTATCAAATTTAACTGCCTGTACCCAAAGATGGAGAGCTAGTCCAATACGAGCCTCAGCCACACGCAGTTAGCTTGCTAGCTACATAAGCTAGCTACCACCAACCAAGATTCCGCTCAGTCAAGAAACATTTAAGAAGCAGGTGATGTAACTAATACTATCTTAACATTACACTGACTGAACGATTCCAGTGCTGATAGAAAATGAAGCAATGTTTAACGAAAATAGCATTAACAAACTCGCATTTGTTTACAAGCTATCTAGCTAGCATGCCAGTAGCTTTAACCACATTATTTGGCAGATTGGCGCTTCGTTGTTATTTCAGAAATGGTTACCGACAAAACATAACTGAAAATTAAGATAAAATGACTGTAGGTGTGCCACAGCCCGGTTGGATTGATACACTTTTAATAAATGATATCACAAATGGGGTACATAGCGTCAATTAGCCACCTAGCTACGTAACGTTAGCTCCGAGCATTGACAGGTCGGCAGGCAGGCGAAACCCTGCGTGCTGTGTCCACTGCACTGCCCTTTTCACACTATTGAGTGAGACAGGACGGATTGCAGGCAAGGAGAAAGAAAGACAAGAGGAAAGCCAGGCGATGACAGCACTACAAGGTTAGCTAGCTTCCTGGCGTCGACTTCCAAGCGAACAGCTGGACTTATTTTTTCCTCCTCCGGATATGTAGACGGGTTTGTTATGCCTAACTACGGCAGCTAGAATCGGGTTACTATTAAAACAGCAGGCTGAGCTAACTCAAGCTAGCACATTAATGCTAACCGAAAATGAAAGCTGCTGTGTCAGCTTAATGCGACTGGGCCTTACCCCTCTCTTGTGTCGGGTTTTGAAGGTAACGCGGACTGACCGAGGTTAGCTTGTAAACTTGGCACCCAAGTTTGCCACATCGCACTAGCTGTGAACATGTTAGCTTCGCCCTGAGAGAGTTTCCGATGGACTGACAGCACGGCCAAGTTAGCCGGGGATCGTTTATGATTAATCCCACCATGCGGCAAAAGGCTTGACACTTGGATTACCAGCTGTATTTCGGTTGCTAGTTATGTTAATGTCATTGGATTACATGTACAAGCATTAGCTTTGCATGGCTAAACTTTTCTAGCTGTCGATCCGAGCATGTCAGTGTGTGATCTTACATGGCAAACTTGCCCTGGTGTCCTCTTCTAACAAACCGGAGGGCATTCCCAGGCAGGGTGTTCACCATTACCTGACCGGTGCCACGCACGTCCTTTGATCTGTGCAGATCTCTGCTGTCAGTCTGTCTGTGGACCCAACTTACTTGCATCAAGTTTGTGATGCAGAAAAACTACATACTTATCTCATGGAGCATGCTGAAATGATCACACGTACAGTATTTTTTTGAATCACTGGGAGTCTGTTTTGAATATTACTTGAGAGATAGTTTTGAAATTTGAGTCTCTTCTTCTCCTGACCTTTCCCAGACACGGAAGATGCCAGTGAAACAGACCTTGCCAAGCACGACGAGGATGACTATGTTGAAATCAAAGAGCAGTAAGTGTTTTACCAACCACGGATCAGCTGTTAAAACCTAGAAATAATCTAAAAGGTGAAAGTTTTGAATGTTTGCCCGGTGAAAGTAAATGTGATTACAGCTCTGGTTTTATTTCATCGCAGGATGTACCAAGATAAACTGGCCTCCCTGAAAAGACAGTTGCAGCAATTACAAGAAGGTAATCACTTGGATTTGTCTTTTCTTATGACTGAAGTGTGTCAGGAATATTCCAGATGTGAATGACTGCAGCTCTTTGTCTGGTGGGGTGCGGTTTTGTGAGTGGGGGTTCATTTTTTATTCGATTTTTTAAAGGATACAGCCAGTTCATAACCGGTTACTCATGGTGGTGGTTGGTGATTACATCATCGGGCCACAGAGGCAGCTTGAAAGTACAGCCTCTGTCTCTGGCTGAAAAGATAAACCAGCTGAGAAACAGATGATAACAGATGACACACACAGTCCTCTGCCATATGCGGCTCACGTTGAATCGTCAAGTCTGTCTGTCGTCTGATGATGCAAACTGTTTCTGTACAGTGAATTTGCAGTGTAGAAATTGCGGGGTGATGTGTTGTGGGCTCTTTGTTCATCCAAATGTAGGTGCAGTGTCATTGTTATCTAGTCTTGGCTGTGGTTGGGTGATGAGAGTAGCAGGTAGAGGATGCCAAAATTTAAATTTGGTCTTGAAATATTGATGATGTATCACAATGAAACTGCTTGAATTGGAGTTTTACTACTGTAACTTGAGAATTTTCTGGCTCTCACCCTACACAAGGTCATAATTAGACCATAACATAATTCTTTTGATTCCATAGATCTTCACATATAGTAAATGTCACCCTCTCTTTTTGCAGGTACGCTGCAGGAGTATCAGAAGAGGATGAAGAAGCTTGACCAGCAGTACAAAGAGAGACTCCGAAATGCAGGCAAGTTGAGCAACATTCAGAGCCAGAACACATCGTGCTTTGCTCCGATGCATCCATACCAAACATGTTTGAAGCAGATTATTCAAATTTTGGAGTGTTTCCTGCTTTAATTTGGTTTGTTTGGCTGGGGGAGAACATTGGCAATAAACAGTTTTGCAAAACAGCTGCTTGGAGGTGAGAACTAGGAAAAGGAAATGTGTCCAAATGCAAGAGCGCATGGATACAAGAGGAGAAGTTTTGGCTGTGGAAGTATTTTACACAAAGATGTCTGATTTCCCCACATGGCTGCCATCAGGAGATTCATTATAAACTGATGTTTTAATATTATTTTAGTAGTATTGCACATGTTTTGTCTGTAGGCTTGACTTCTCTTTGTTTTCCTGAATTACACAAACTTTAATGCTGCCTTTCTCTCTCCTTTTTTTGAGCATGAAACTACTAACTAACTACTATGTCTCAATAGAAGTTGTACATTTTTAATGTGCACAACGGGTGAATAAAACATGTCGTGTGACTTAACCTAACATACAAGATTAATGATAAAAGTACAGTGTCTTACGGAGGCATCATCATTTAGTAAACATACAGGAACACATATCAGCATTGTTTAGAAAAGGACTGAGCCATCTTCCTCTCTCTGCTCCAACCCTGTCCATTTCCACCATTTGGCTGTTCTAATTTTATGGCTTACTTTATTTTTGTTGAGTCAGTGGCTTGTGTCTGATCAGCTGTTTCCTTTGCCCGCTGTGTGTGCCAGAATTTTATGCACTCCATTTTTTGCTGATCAAAATTGCTTTGTTTGTTTTGCCCAGGATGCACTGCAAAAAGCGTTTTAAATCATAGATAGTTTCTAAAAATTTTATGGTGCTTTTGCTGTAAAACCCTGTGTCTTTGTGACCCTGCACTGCACCCTTTTCTCTTCTTGAGAGCAACCAACATTGACTGCAGTCATCAAATGTCAGATATAATGTGCGGGTAACATTAAACCAATGTTTTTCTTTCCCTTTACAGATCTGTTTCTCCAGCTTGAGGTGAGTGTACTTAATCTGGCAGACTTACTGATGTAGTTTATACAGAGCTGACCTTTATGTTATTGGTATTACAAGGAAAACATCCCCTCTGCTTCCATCGTTCCCTTCTCTCAACCCTTCTGCAGACAGAGCAGGTGGAGAGGAACTACATCAAGGAGAAGAAGGCAGCGGTGAAGGAGTTTGACGATAAAAAGGTGGAACTGAAGGAAAATCTAATTGCAGAGCTGGAGGAGAAGAAGAAAATGATCGAGAACGAAAAATTAACAATGGAGCTGACGGGCGGTAAGGGAGCCAGAATGGGATTATTAATCAGGGACTTGCTCAGCAGAAGAGAGAGAAATGGAGTAAAAAAGTATGTGGGTGGAAAGTCAGAGTTTTTCTCTCCACACACTTAAACATTAAGTTGTCTGATTAAAGACGGACTTTTAGATACAGTTAATTAAGATGTTGCTGTCTGTCCTTTTAATTTGCCTGTGAGGGATGTTTGTTTGTTTTTTCAGGAATGTTTGACACAAGTTGGATGTTGTTGTTGGATCTCAGTTTGTCATTATTTCTTCTATATGTAGACTCGATGGAGGTAAAACCTATCATGACTCGGAAGCTGAGGAGACGGCCCAACGATCCGGTCCCAATACCAGACAAAAGGAGAAAACCTGCGCCAGATATCCTTCACAGAAACTTAGAGTCTGTTAGTGGCAGCTGAATCTTTGAGGGGTAAATGGTTCAGTATTATTTGTACTAGCAGTCTTTGTGCTTTCTCAAGATACTTTTTAATCCTGTAGGAGATACTTAGTTTCAGTCAAAGGAAGTTCAGAGGTCAGCTACATCTGTGGGTCTGGCTAAATTTCTGAACTAAGTTGCATTAAAAAAAAAAGCCTTCCTTAACTCGTCACACCTCAGCTAAATTATTTGTTAACAGATGAACAGATAATGGAAGATCTAAGAACGCTTAATAAGGTAAGTGTTTCTGAATGAGTTGATACATTGCATTATCTTTGCTGAATCTTATCTTTCAAATTATGTTTTTTAAAATTTTCATACCTTCTGTTTTACAGCTTAAATCACCAAAACGGCCAGGTACGTCGATACTCATCTTTAGCAATTATCGCACATCAAGTCATACACAACAAGCACTCTAGTTAAAGACATAGTCTGTCAGTCAGGGAAATGCCTTTATTTGCTTTCTGCTGAGTTTGATAAAAGATGCTAAATATGAATCCACAGTCAGCTGCTGGTTAGCTTAGCTTAGTACAAAAACGGGAAACTGGGGAAACAGCTTGTCTGGCTTGGTCCAACACTGCAACATTACATTTTTTTTACCCTTTGATTTTTGTTTGCAAGACTTAACTTTTAGCTGGCTGCCAAGACTGAAATTTTAGATGTCATTTTTAGTCACCTTATATTTTGAATAATCAAGATACTATACAGTTATTTGTTGGCTTAATAGCAAACATGTGACATAAAAGAATGTTTAAAAGCTTTATTACAGTAACCGAACGATATTTGCGATATTTACGTTATTTGCAGTTGGTGTTTTATCTGATATTTTACAGACCTGGTTCATCAGGGTGTTTGTTGTACATGCTTTGCTGTATAATTTTTGGTCCAGCTCAGAGATAGCAGGATGTTTCTCCCTGAGTTCAGGTTCATCTGGTTATTTTTTAGTTGAACCAATTTGCACATTCATTTGTGATGTTGACCAGTTTGTCGAACTTTTCACCCCACAGTAAAACAACTTAATTTGCTTCATCACTGTCTCTAAAACAGATGTCTGTGCTCATGCAAATAAACGCACCAACCTGTACCAGACATGCAGCATTGTCTGGTACAGGTTTTGACTCTAACACCAGTATTTGAATAGCACTAATGGGAAGTATTGGAAAAAGTATTTTGGGCTGCACCTTTTGCTGTTTGCTGCCCCTGTTTTTTAGAGGTTAATCAGTGGCAACCAAAGACCAAGGATTGGTCACCAGTCTCTTAAAATGGTTGCTATGGCTACCTGGCAACTGTCCATGTTGTGCCCTGATACAGATCAAACAAACAGTACCAGGTTATTTAATGAGCCGGCAGGTGGATTTTGTTACATGTCTCAGTCTTTATGCTAAGCTAAGCTAACCAGCTGCTGGCTGTAACTTCATATCTACTAATCTTCCTCTCGTCTCAGCAAGAAAACGAATGAGCATGTTTCCTAAGATGCCCCAAATTTATTCCTTAAAACAAAATATCTGCACATAAGTGTTGCATGGTGATACTGATCATTAGTTTCTCTCTTCAGTGTCTCCGTCGTCTCCAGAGCATGTCCCCTCCGCTCCCATGGAGAACCCCTCCCAGCGTTACGAGGCCCGCATCGAAGAGGGGAAACTTTACTACGACAAAAGATGGTGAGTTTTAAGTTTCATCCTCAAACAAGACATTTCAGTGTTTCCCCTGACACTGCCTTTTCTCACACAGCCTGACTACAGCTTCTGCCACCACTAGATGGCCACATTGCCATGTGTATGATGTCTCTGGTGTTTGGTTGGATTTCAAAAAACATGTTACAACCACTTTGATGGCAGCCTCTTTTTTTTCCTGAGGTACAGAAAGAGATATTTCTTAGGAGCGACTGAATAAGTGCTAGTGCTTGAAGGCACCATAAAAATACATATTCAGAGAAGGTGGCTGCATTAGAGTCAGTGCTGCATTCTGCTGTGATGCAGAGACAAAGAGAATAGAAATCCTTGACCAGACACAGTCTGATGCCCTCCTGTTTGAGAACAGAGCTGTGCATCAGACATGTGTCAGAACATAAGGTCATGTGAAAGAGGGCTAACAATAATAGAATTCTGTCTTATTAGCTGCTGATATAGATAGAAGAAGCTGAGAAGAGTGAGCTGTGAGGTATGTGCACTCTTCTTTCAAGGCAAAGTCTCATTTATTCATCACTAAAGAAGACACCACCACCGGAAAGCCTTCACAAAGAGCCGCAGGGAGACACATGCGTCATTATTCTTCAGTGGGCCCTTAATGATCAAACGTTTTGGTTGTCAGTCTCTTCCCCTGGGTTGGTTCTGTCCTCTGACAGTTTGGGAGCCATTAAAATAAAATAACAGACTTTTTGTTTTGACTTTCCAGTCCAATTATCTATTTAGTGCCATCTCAGGAGGAATGTGGTTTATTCAGCTGGGTAAAATTATGCATAATGAACCTCTCTCCTGTCTGCACTTAGGCCTATCCCTCATTCCTCACCTGGAACGCTAAATTAAAGCTGTTTGTGTGTGTTCTTTTTGCTCCGACAGGTACCATAAGAGCCAGGCCATCTACTTGGAGTCAAAGGACAACACAAAGATTAGCTGTGTCATCAGTTCGGTGGGGACCAATGAGGTGAGCTTAAGTTCTTATCCAGGTCGTGTAGCATGTAGAACTGGGTTTACTGCTTTTAAAGTCCCAGTGAACTGAAGTTAGAGCATCTTTAGCTTCTGTGCTGTGGCATATTTCCCAGTGAAATGCAATATTTGATTTGGAAAACAAGGGTTTGATTGTTGAGAAGTGGGTGTGTCACAACAGTGAGGCCCTGAAGGTGTTAGCCAATGGGATAGTATATGGCAGATGGAGACACAGCCCATTGTATGCTCCATGTACAGCAGTCTGCTGTAAGATGCCTTGTGCATGAACTGGAGCTGTCACTGATACCACTCTCCCCAGGTGACTTAAGGCCTACAGCCCATAACCACTGCATTTGGGGGGAACGAAGACACAGTGACGTAGCATGCTGTTGCTAGCTAGCTAACTTAAACTTAGCTCTGTGCGGCTAACATTGAGAATTGATTGATGGGTGGATTTCGTTGGTTGAAACTGGTTGGTACAAGCTTATGGAAGCACAGCATATTTTGTTTTACAGGGAGAAATCATGACTGGATTTCTATATAAGAATATGAAGTAGTTTTTTCTCTATTTTTTGGGCATAAACACAACTGGTCTTGACTTTAAATTTGTAGTGTTTAAATTATGGCTAGAATGTTAATTTACAACGTTCAAAAAATTAACTAGCATTATCAACAGGATTTGAAGAAGTAACAGATTTGAGGTTATGTCAAAGGAGTTTGTGTATTCTGTTGCAGATATATTTACTAAAGTTAGCATGCCAACCAGTTAGCCTTTAGCCTTGAATAAAGTCAAGTAATAGTTATTGTTGTTTGGAGATACCAGCGATCTCTCCTAGCATAAAGTTAGCAGTGTTTTTATGTCTTCGACTTCCTGTTTCATATTTGGAAAATCCTTCTTTGGTCCCATCTTGATTGCTCGTTGCCAGAGGTGGACCAAATAGTGTCTGCAGAAAGTACAGAGTTGCTACCTGCGTCAACACAGCTGGGTGCAGCCAGTCCAAGCTAGCCAGCAGGCTAACCAGCCCTGTGTGGATAAGGTCTGTGCATATGAGTCAGGCAAGACAAAGAATATGTACCAGTTCAGATAATCTAAGGTGTGAAATCCATGATAGTTCTGCGGTTAGTTCAGCCATTTCAGGCCGGCATACAGCCAAGTGAAGCTAGCTAGGCTAAGCTAGCTTGCAGACTTACCATACATTGCCAGTTCAAGGCTGTGATCTTAAATTGTTGCCTCTATCCAGGTGCCAAACAAAGGTACTTTAAAAAGGTAATAAAGTAATGATCTGGACAGAACTGATGTCAACACAAAACATACCGAAAAACTATCCAAATGGCATCGATATGTGGTTTTGAAGTGGCTGTCTTCTTGCTACTATGGTCCTACTAAAAGGCTAGAACGTAAACTATAAACCAAACTACTTTTCGTGAAGGTTGTAGGATAACTGTCATTTTGACCGGCCCTTCGAGTCTCAGCAGTTTGGTCGAATTTGGCGTATTGTTGCCCTGCTGTTAATTAGCACTTGGCTTGAAGGTGAAATGCAGCTCCCTATCGGTTTGGAGCACGTTGCCAGGCATTACTCATTGCACCTTTAATAAAACATGAGGCTGGTGATAGTCTACATTTCCTGTATTTTCAACAAATCCCATGAAATGATCCCACTAATTAAGTATTGTCTGTGTGGCCAAAGCCTGATATATTTTATTCCTCTGTGCCACGGAGCTCCATTGTTGTCCAAAAACCATTAAAAGCACATTAATGAGCCACACTGTTGCATACAGTGACATGTTGCCTCATTACCATGACACTGTAGTTTGTTTTGAGTCAGTACCACATACACCATCCTGCTGCTGTAAACACTCACCAGGGCACCAAATGTGCATTAATCCACAGCTTATAGAGCTACATAGTATCCAACAAATGCATGATTTACTCCTGTTTGAGTAACATTTGTCATTGTGGGTCTTTTGATGGGATTTGTTGACAGTCAAACAGTTACAGATTAACACCAGCCTTTTCTTTTTAAACGTTGGTTGTGCAGTGGAGAGCCAGACACTTGAGTGGAAGAACGAGAAGAGTAATCAGCAGATTTATTTTTGCTAGTGACTTCTAACAAGTGCTAATTTTCTATCTAATCAACACTGGACTTTCACCAGGAAGGAATAAGCCTCTAGTCAACAACTGTTCTCGAGAAGAAATCTCTTCTTAAAGTGAAACACCACCGGAATTAGAAATTCCAATTTGCTATTTCCATGGTCTAGGAAAGTTCAGTTGATATTTGTCAACATAAACTACTCTCTCTCAAAGCCAGAAACCAGAGTCTCAAACTTGTGTTGTCATTTGGGTATTAAATCTGGAGCTGCTCAATAGACACTGTATGGCCCGACTCTGTTGTTAAATACAGTAATAACTCATTGGGATTGGCTGAATTTGTGTTCATTGTAATGGTCGCATAGTCTTGGAGTACTTGTTTCTACTTCTCTTTCTGTGTCTGTGTGCACAAAGCCCTGCAGTCTAATGCTCTTTTAGGGCCCATACACATGCCACATCTTTAACCGCCTGGAAAACGCTTGGTCGGGCACTGGGCACTAGTTTTGTGCCTTTTTTGTGCCAGTTTTGAAGAGCACATCAGCAGGTTGGGTCTGAGGTTGTTAAGCAACCTTAACAAGCATTGTACCATAGCCCGTTGACCTGAAATCATGAGTGCAGAGTTGATCTCCTTCTTGGCACTGTTTATAAGGGCGCATTCACACCAGGATACTTGGGGGACTCGGTTCGATTGGGCGGGAAATGCCGAAAAATTTCACACCTTCATTTCACATTGCACTTTATAAAGCGGACTAAACCGCCTGGACAACGTCACGCAGTTACAACAGCTGCTTGTTTGGGGGCGGTATTGCCCGAAATGACCACTGACCAGGAAGTATGAGGAAGAAGAAAACCCAGGTCATCAATTACCTTTGCTTCTACCGGTTTGCGCTGTTGGCTTTGTTTTATTTCTACCCAAAATGCACTGCACTCTATGTCACTTCCTCTCTTTGGTTCGCTGGATAGTCTGTTTGCAATTCCCACTGCAAGCGAACCGCACCAGGGTTCACTTGCAAGTGAACCGAGACCCTCGTTTGGTCCGCACCAGAGTACTAGTGAGCGTTCACACCACTTCAAATGAACAGAACTATCCATGGAAGCGGACCAGGGTTCATTTAAAGCGGACCAAATAGCGCCAGTGTGAATCGACCTAAGTGTGTAGGTCTGTCGTCTGTGGGACAGATGTAAAGCTCTGGGTAGCCCCGTACTAACATGATCAACATTTCCATTTTTATCACAGGCTGATACTTACGGAAGAAAAATTTGGCTGTCATTGGTTGTTCTCGTCACAAAAATTGGCACTCAGGAACGTGTGCATGACGAGAGGGCGTTGCTATCTTTATTGACACCTAGGGATGCACCGAAATGAAAATTTGTGGCCGAAGCTGAATAATATTAAACGCTTGGCCGAATACCAAGTACCGAATATTGTTGTTTAGTTTTTCATTAGTTTTTGCAGATGAACCCCCTCCAGATTAGTGTTGTCATGGTACCAAAATTGGATCCCACTGTACGATACCAATGAAAATATCATGGTTCTGAGTAGTATCACGATATCACAGCGAAAATGAGGCAGATGTGCCTTTTGTCATTTATAAAAAGATAAATCACTTTTCTATAATACATCAATGATATTTCAATGGAATAAATTACTTACTGACTTATTCATACTTCAAAAACAACATCAATAATTGATTAACATAGGGGGGATCAAAATAAAATAAAATAAATAAAATAAAAATCAACCAGCCACCCTCCTCCCCTGACAGTCCCTTCATAAGTAAAGAACAGTCCCTAAAGTGTGGCGAGGTTTGTGGGCCGTGAACGGCTCGTTTCTCCTCTGACACGTCACATACCTGTGTTCGGCTGGCTCTGCTGTTCAGGTACTTTTGGGCAGTTCACACGCCAAGAAGAGGATATTATTGGAGCCGACTTCCCGTCTCCGGTAAGCCGATGGCCACCGTATTTGACAGGAATACATTAAGTTACTGTCTGTGTCTGTGACCCCCGTTCAACCCACAACCGATGGGATTCGCCTTTCGTTTCTGCTGCTGGTTGAAATCTGTAGGCTGCTCGCACAGTTTGCTGAATGATTTAAGCCTATTTTGCTCGTTCAGAACTATTTTTAGTCGCAAATGCGAGTGCCGTGACGGGCGGATCACCACACTGCCGACATTTTACTCAGCCCGTCACGGCACGCTGTTTGATTGCGTTATCAAAACACGCCGCTATTATTCAGCCTTGCTTTTAACTTATTCCACCAAATACTGAATGTGTGTTTTTTTGCAATATTCGGCCGAATATATTCGGTTACCAAATATTCGGTGCATCCCTATTGACAACAATGAATTTGACGCAGGCAAAAACGCGGCATGTGTTAAGGGGCTGTCCCTTACAGGAGCTGGCGGAGAGTTTACCTATGCTAAATATGATCAACTGGCACGCACATTCAACTTACATGGGGCAGTGGGATTTTTTTAATTTTTAAAGGCCTGGAAATGGTTTGGAGTTAAATTTGGAAAAGGTTTGAATGGTTGTTGTTTTGGCTGTCATGTAAAACATGTTCATAGAAATCCTATTACACAACATTTTTGATTGTTTTTACATCTAGTGCTGCGCCACTTGAATTTCACCATTATCAGGCGATACACTCAGACCAGAGCAGCACCCTCGCCACCTGTTGAACTGCCCAAATGAAGTCATGGAAATGGAGTAAAATATTGTGGAAACGTTTAGAAAATTCATTTGTAGAAATATCTTGGAGCCCTGACTATAAGAACACAGAACACTGACACTGACTTTTCTTTGGACTCTTAACAAAAAATTTAAGAACAAACTAGAGCTATGGGTGAATGAGGCTCATTGATCACTGGAAAAGTAAAGCTCATCTTTTCAGGGAGCGTTCTGATGAAAAATGTTGTGTGAATTCACTCCTTGAGCACCCTAGATTTCTAAATGAATATGGATGTGGCTGATATTGACAGCTACTTTAAAATTCATTACGTCTAAATGACTGTATTGAGGAATTGTCTCGTCTATGTTCTCCAGATTTGGGTGAGGAAGACGAGTGACAGTACGAAGATGAGGATCTACCTGGGACAGCTGCAGAGAGGAGCGTTTGTCATCCGTCGACGGTCGGCTGCGTGAAACATTACTCCCCCACCTGTTCATTTATCCATCCATCCACCCGCTCGTTCAGCCCGTTTCCCTACTCGGTGTATCTTAGTTGAGTTTGATATGTGGCCTCTTACTCTTCATCATATGCACTACCCCCCGTTACACAAGCATACACACACACACACACACACACACACACACACACACACACACACACACACTGTCTTCCATGGCCGAGAATATCTCATCAGATTTTATCTGTTTTCCCACATAAACCAAATGGAGTACAGTGAAAGGGGTCATATACGCAACTGACTGTTTTCCAGCATTATTTGTCACTATGTGGCATGTGTGTGAAGGCGGTTAGTGGTCATAAACGAGCCTGCTTTGTTTTTTGTCTCATGCTGTCAACACAAATCTTTTCTACACCATGCAGTCATATTTACATTTATCATTAAGTTATTTTCCCTTAGCAGCCTCATGTTGTCCCACAGAAACTGTCTGTTGCCTTTGAGACTGTGTCACTGGTGATGTGTAACAAAGCGAGCACTGAGAAACGGACGGGGAGCTGCTGTAGATCTGGCTGATTATCATGAATGACTGAAGACGACACAGTTTCCTCACACCAGGAGTCATGCCATCTTTCAAAAGAATATGCCTTTTACACTGTCACCATGAAATGGCTACTTGCTATGCTGACGGTTTGTTCTGATCACATGTCAAAAAGTCAGATGTATTAAAATCTAAATTTCTTATTTGGGAAAAAAAAATGTATTTTGAGGTTTTTATGTTACTTTTTTTTTTTGCCATTTTATGTGATCTTCTCCATGTGTGAACGATTTCAATTATTTCAAACTGTATTTGCATGTGGAGCGCTAAGTTGACTGTTGATTTGTACTGTGTTCCATTTTATTAAAATGTTTCTGCATTTTATTAATTTGATGAAAAGGTTCTTTGCTTTAATATTTTGGAAATACACAAATATGTTCACTGGCATTAAACTAGTCATGATAAGTACTGTTGCACTTTGTTCACCAGTTAGCTACTGACTAAAATGAACAATGACAGCAATATAGTCCACGATGAGCAGCGCTAAAATCAACCTGCGTCGTTGTCCCGCCATTGTGACATTACAAAGTGTCACATTTATCTTGCAACTGTCCTCTTCTTCAACGTTTTGTGTACTTCCTGGATTTTTCCCACATGGAAATTCTGACCAATCAAGAGCAGCTTTCTCACACAAGGCATTTGATCTGGTCCGCTTGTAAATGCTGCCGTGAGAACACAAACCAACTCTAGGCTATTATACAACTTTGGAACAAATTTCGGACCAAAGCAAGACAACTCTAGGTCTGAAAGCAGCCTTAGTCTGTTGTTTGGTGCTGAAAAACTTGTCTGGAAATTGGGAGCGATAAGAATGAGCCAAAACAGTAAAGTTGTAGGTCAGAAAACCAAAACTGTTGAGCTGAAAGACGCTCAAACACTGCAGAGCAGACAGGAACCGCAGAGTGCAGATGAGAGTGAGGGCAATTATGAGTGATCATCCTCATATGCAAGTAGTTCTGTTGTTCATTGTTAAAATACATAATGTAGCTGCTTTTTTAAATATTATTTTCCAGGCCTTTATTATATATATAGGAGAATGGCAAGAAATGGGGGAGACAGAATAGGAATGACACACAGCAAAGGGCCACAGATTGGAGTTGAACCCACCCCGGTGAGTTAGAGGGTACCCTGAATATAGCTGCTTCAAATGAGCAAACCTCAGTGTTTGAAAGTAAAAATCTTTCATTGACTCCCTGCAATACAAACATGGATCACCAGGGGTTCATGGACCCCTGACTGAGAAACTGTTGGGGAAGTGGGGGCTCATTACAGAAACTCTGCAAGTTTAAACTCCTGTATTATCTCAGGTGTTCAGGATTTTTGGTATTACAGAAACATGTCTACTAACTGCATTTAGGGGAAAAATTCCAATCTTAGGATATGAATTTAGCTGTTACAGAACCATTTAATTTGATTGATTAGCCGTTCCGGCTACTTGTTGCTAAAATTGAATGCCCGTCTTTTTTGTCCATGACTGCGGGCTAGCTAGCCAGTAACGAGCGAGAGTCGCTGATACTATAGCTTTCCATTTCAAGTAGCCTTCCAGTACATTACATATATACAGGCTGATCAAAGAATCGAATCTACAGTTACAGTCAGGATTTCTTAAGATATGATGGGAGGTCAGTGACAGGATAGGACACAGCCATGAGTTTAGGATTAGCTTCCTTGACAGGAAATTAGGACTATCCCTATCTTTGAAACGGCTCAACAAGCTCAGTGTCAAACATTTTATGCCTCTGTGCAAGCGATAGCAGCAGGTGGAAGCATTATGTTTCAGGTTGTCTGTCCCATTTTTGTGAATGAATATCTCAAGAACACCTTGACTTTGTGCCTTAAATTTGGCACAAACGTTCACTTGAACTCAAGGAAGAAATGATTAGATTGTGGTGGTCAAAGGTGAAGGTCACAGTGACCTTGCGTCTGTCTCATTCTCATGAACGTGATATCTCAAAAAACACCTTGAGGGAATTTCTTTAAATTTGGCACAAATGTCCACTTGGACTCAATGATGAACTGACAGGAATTCTGTGGTCCAAGGTCAAGGTCAAGGTCACTATGACCATGCTCCTGTTCTATAATATTCATAGAACATGCTCATTGTCAAACGTTTTTATGCCCCTGTGCTGGCGATCACAGCAGCTGGAGATATTATGTTTCAGGTTGTCTGTCCTATTTTTCTGAATGCAATATCTCAAGAACACCTTGACTTTGGCCTTAAATTTGGCACAAACATCCACTTGAACTCAAGGAAGAACTGATTAGATTGTGGTGGTCAAAGGTGAAGGTCACTGTGACCTTGCATCTGTCTCAATCTCATGAACATGATATCTCAAGAAAACCTTCGGGGAATTTCTTACAATTTGGCACAAATGTCCACTTGGACTCAAGGATGAACTGACTAGAATTCTGTGGTCCAAGGTCAAGGTCACTATGACCATGCTCCTGTTCTATAATATTCATAGAACATGCTCATTGTCAAACATTTTTACGCCTCTGTGCTGGCGATAGCAGCAGCTGGAGGCTGTATGTTTTCAGGTTGTCTGTCCGTCTGTCCCATTTCTGTGAATATCTCAAGTTCACCTTGACTTTGGGCCTATAAATTTGGCACAAACATCCACTTGAACTCAAGGAAGAACTGATTAGATTGTGGTGGTCAAAGGTGAAGGTCACAGTGACCTTGCATCTGTCCCATTCTCATGAATATGATACATTAAAAAAAACACCTTGAGGGAATTTCTTAACATTTGGCACAAATGTCCACTTGGACTCAAGGATGAATTGACGGGAATTCTGTGGTCCAAGGTCAAGGTCACTATGACCATGCTCCTGTTCTATAATATTCATAGAACTTGCTCATTGTCAAACATTTTTACGCCTCTGTGCTGGCGATAGCAGCAGCTGGAGGCGGTATGTTTTCAGGTTGTCTGTCCGTCTGTCCCATTTCTGTGAATATCTCAAGTTCACCTTGACTTTGGGCCTATAAATTTGGCACAAACATCCACTTGAACTCAATGAAGAACTGATTAGATTGTGGTGGTCAAAGGTGAAGGTCACAGTGACCTTGCATCTGTCCCATTCTCATGAATATGATACATTAAAAAACACCTTGAGGGAATTTCTTAACATTTGGCACAAATGTCCACTTGGACTCAAGGATGAATTGATAGGAATTCTGTGGTCCAAGGTCAAGGTCACTATGACCATGCTCCTGTTCTATAATATTCATAGAACATGCTCATTGTCAAACATTTTTATGCCTGTAGGCTGGCAATAGCAGCAGCTGGAGGGATTCAGCTGCTGCTATTGCCAGCAGCAGCAGCAGCTGGAGGGATTCAGTTTTGAGGTTGTCTGTCCGTCTGTCCCATTCTCATGAAGACAATGTCTCAAGAAGGCGTTGAGGGAATTTCTTAAAATTTGGCACAAATGTCCACTTGGACTCAAGGATGAACTGACTAGAATTCTGTGGTCCAAGGTCAAGGTCACTATGACCATGCTCCTGTTCTATAGTATTCATAGAACATGCTCATTGTCAAACATTTTTATGCCTCTGTGCTGGCGATCACAGCAGCTGGAGGCTGTATGTTTTCAGGTTTTCTGTCCGTCTGTCCCATTTTTGTGAATGTCTCAAGATCACCTTGACTTTGGGCCTATAAATTTGGCACAAACGTCTACTTGAACTTAAGGAAGAACTGATTAGATTGTGGTGGTCAAAGGTGAAGGTCACAGTGACCTTGCATCTGTCTCATTCTCATGAACATAATATCTCAAGAACACCTTGAGGGAATTTCTTAAAATTTGGCACAAATGTCCGCTTTGACTCAAGGATGAACTGATTAGAATGTGGTATTCAAAGGTCAAGGCCACTGTGACCTCACAAACATGTTGTTGGTTATAACTCAAGAATTTACACATTCATGATGACAAAATTTCACACAAATGTCTAATAGGAAAAATGATGAACTAATGACACTTTATATCCAAAAGGTCAAAGGTCAACTTCATGGTGACATCATAATGTTCTGCAAAAAAACAATGTTCTGGCCATAATTCAACACCATAACATTTGAGACATTGGTCAGCTACTAAATTGGTGACACTAATCTTGGGTGTCCATCTTAAAACTGTTGCAGGGTTGAAGATGTGTGTGATTTAGAATTTGTAGCTTCTTTGCAGCAACATCCATATTTTAAGCATTGCCTGCTGTTGTGGCTACCTATGAGTCTGGGTAGACATGGATGTAAACTGTAACTGCAACGTGACTGGTTCACGGAGGCATACAACTATGAGGCAGTAATTCTAGTTGATAATATCTTTAATTAATCAATAATGTTACTAGTAGGGTAAAGAACAAGCTCTTAAATTGCTTTTTATTTTTCTATCCTGGTGCTTGGTGCTCATATCATCTGTTGGGGGATATTTTTCCACATCGCACTGATTGGCCAGCGTCTCCACATAATCGACCTGACCAAGTCACCTCACAGGTCCGCTCCGCTCACACAGCTGCTCTCAACCATCCCTCCACTTTGTAAACAGCTGAATTGTTTGGCATTCAGCGCGGGTCTCCGCCGGCCGAGCAGCCTGCCTTCTCCCTCTTGTGTGTCCTATCGCTTTAACCGGATGGTATGTTTCACTTCGCCTGACTTAATGACACAGCCTGACAAGGAGGGCAATTACTGTTTTGCCGTGCTGCACAAAAAGCAAGGCTCATCTCAAAAGGCTTGTTGTCCAGAAGCCGTCAGGTGTGATTGCTCAGTCTCTTGCGAAGGCATGAAATGAGCTGATAGTGAATGTGATGACCGTCTGCTCCCTTTATTGCATCTCATGTCTGGCTATTGGTTAAGGCCAGAATAACATACACTGAGGCATTTTTTATGTGAGCTCTACAGGGTTTGGATTTCGTGTGAGTCCTTTGTGGTTCATCACAGGCAAACAGTTTTTATTGATCTGGAGTCAGGGCAGAAAGAGAGGGGTGGAATGGGATCCTATCAGAGTCAAATGTGTTAGTTAGTTAATGACTGTCATGGGCAGATTACTGAACCAGATTGCTTGTTGGAAAGTCAATAAAATGACTACAAAGAAATGTTAAACAGCTACAAAAACACAAAAAATGACCACAAACAGAAGCAAAACAACAACAAAAAATGAAACAACCACAAAGAGACAAGAAACGACCCTAAGAGAGTAAGGAAAGTAAGGACAAAGTAAGGAAAAATGATCATAAAAAAAGAAAAAAATGACAAAGAGATGCACAATTACCACAAAGACAAGAAATATGACCATACAGAGAGTAAAAATAAACATTAAGAAAGGACAAAAGACAAAAAGAGA